GGGAGGGCTCTCTCAAAAGGTGAGTTTGCTGGGAAATAAGATTCTGTTAGAATGAGCTGTCATGTAGAAGGGAGCATATAACCTTACTTGATGAACACTGGTTTTCAGGTTTTATTATTATTATTATTTACATATATCTATTGATTTCGGAGAGGGAGAGGGAGAGGGAGAGGGGGAGGGGGAGGGAGAGGGAGAGACAGAGAGAGAGAGAGAGAGAAACATCGATCAGATGCTTCCCGCACACCCCCTACCAGGGGATCAAGCCCAAAACCCAGGCATGTGCCCTGACCAGGAATCAAACCGGGACCTCTCAGTGCACACAGGTCACTGGCCAACCAACTGTGCCACATCAGCCAGGACTAATATCAAAATTAAAAAAAAAAACACAAGCAAGCTCATTCTGTGGTAAGTGTTAATATTGTTGACTTAACTGCTGAATTAAGGCTACTCCTTTGCAGAAGCTGCACCCCTTCCTCAAGAAGAAGTGCTGTGAGCCTATGCTCTCCTTCCTGATGCCCCTGAGCCTACTCACTGGTCTTCAGTGTCCATGGTGCCACCTCGCCGAGCCTCGCCCTGGATAGATTCCATGGCTGTGGAATAGAGAGCCTTTTGGGGGGCTGGTCTGCGAGTGTCAATTGAATATTGCGTTTCATTGCTTGTGGCCTCTCGTTGTGCATGATCTAAGTTATGGATTGACATCAGGAGGCTATAGTCCATTATCTTGAAGCTCTGCAGCACCTAATGGAAGGAAAAAACAAGATCTGAACCTTGGGAGGTATGAGGATATTTTTCAGGATCTCACAGCTTTCCTGATCCAATTATTCTTGATAGTGAACTTCCAGGGCTAACCATAGAATTATCCTTTGCTCCTCCTACTCCTTGGAGAAAAGCACATCAACTTCCTCTCGTTGCTCTTCATTTGTATCCCCTCAGTTTTCTTTCACTTGAGTAAATATAAATTAGGCAACTGCCTAGCTCACAAGACCCTCTTTGTTTGTTCTTTCCTTTTATCTCTTCATGAAAACAGCATCATATTCTCAAGGGAATAAGAAATACATAATTGTGCTGTAAAGAATCCATAAGGAGAGTCTAGTAAAATATGCTTTGTGACAGAGCAAATCTGTTGCAGGACCTCTTATGACCAGCTTCGATTCAGTTCAATATTTACTGAATACCTATCATCTGTAGGCATTGTGCCTGCTTATGGGGGATAAAAAGGTATTTAAGAGAATTTCTGTCCTCTAGAATATTATGATTTAGGAAAAGAAACAAATGTAAAAGTAAATACAACATAGTCTAATGTGTACAACAATAGAAGCGCTTACTTGATTGAGGAGCAGTATACAGGAGGTCAGGAAGTAATACATACATAGATTTATGAAAGATAAATTACAGAGAAAATAAGTCCAAGTACATAAAGGAAGGAAATAATACTGCAAGTCCTGGAGGCATGAAAGAGCATATAACTTAGAATTTCTAGAACATAAAATGCAAAGGCTAGGTGAGGCAGATTAGAGAGGTTGGTAGGGACAAGACAATGACAAGTCTGATATGTCACATTAAGGAGCCTGGGTCATAACCTATAGTTCTCAACACTCTTTTCACCCCAGAACAGGGTGAAAAAGAGTTTATTCCCACCAGTTCCAGGAGCTCACTCTGGTGCTACACCTCAACCATTTCAGTAGGTGGATGGAGTAAGGGATGAAGAGAAAACAGGACTGATTCTTATGTACAGTTTGAAAAACACCATCTGCTTCACCATGTTTCTAGTCCTTACGACCAAAGGAGCCAAACTAAAATAGTCATTATCCTGGAATAGATGCAGAGTAAGCAAAGCCAGTTCCAGAAAAAACCACCAGAGATGTAAAAAATCAATAGGGAAAGGTGTTACCAAAACCAAAGAAGATATGTTAAGAAACTGGAAATAGTTAACTGTTCAACGCTTCAGAAAATTTAAGGAAGGACTGAGAAATCCTCTCTTTGGCATTTGGGTAGTCAGTGGAGAGAGTGGTTCAGCTTAAGTGGTGAGAGTAAAAGCAAGGGCACAGTGGGTTGAGGCAAAAATAGGAAAAGAGAAAGAAAAAGAATACTAGCATCATTAAGTGGAGAGACTGAAAAAAGTCCTCCTAACTTTAGGATAGAAGGGGTAAGCTTGTTTGTATGTAGAAAGAAAACAGTCAGTAGAGGCTGAAGCCAGAGGTGGAAAAGGAAGCGAGTTATGAAACAGGATCCTAAAGAAAGGAGGAAATGGATCAGAGGACAAAAGGGGCTGACCTGGAATAAGGCACCAAGGTGGGAAGAAAGGAGATTAAGGATGGTTGAGTGTAGGTATGTCTATAAACGGGACGGGACAGGACAGGACGGGACGGGACGGGACGGGACGGGACGGGACGGGACGGGACGGGACGGGACGGGACGGGACGGGACGGGACGGGACGGGACGGGACGGGACGGGATGTTAAGGCGGTTTGTTGAGAAACAAGGCTGGGGGATGGGAGTTAAAAAATGGTTTGACAAAACAAACATACAAAGAAACAAAAACAAACTCATAGATACGAAAACAGAATGGTGGTTACCAGAGAGAGAGGGGTGGGGGAGAACGAAGAAGGTAAAGGGGGTCAGATACATGGTGACTAGACTTCAGGTGGTGAGCACATATAGAATGCATAGGTGCTGTATTATAAAGTTACACATCTGAAATTTATACACTGTTATTAACCAATGTTACTCCAATAAATTTAATTTAAAAATTTTTAGTAAAAAAAAAAAGTGGTTTGAAGCGAGTTCAACTATCTGAACACTGCTGAGAGAAAAAGAAAATGGATTGATGAGAGAAACTGAGGGCCCAGGTGGAGACGGATATCATACATCTGTAGAGATGCCAGTACACACAGTTGTGTGATTTTCCTCATCAGCACCCGGCTGCCAAGATATGAATTTGGATTTGACAGGCAGGATTTGACAGACCTGAGGAATGATGGTGCTGGTATGAAAATAAGAAGAATGTATGACTATGAGGCCCAGGTTAGGCAGAGAGGAAATCAAGTCAGGTGCGGGAGGGTAAACAGAGGAAGTAAAAATGCAAAAGCATAATAACGCTCTAGTGTAAAAATTATTTTAAATAAAGCCTGGGACATATGAAGTGAAGGAACAGAGTCCCATCTCCCACAGACTTGATGCCTAAGGATAGACAAGCTGTTTTAGTGACTGTGATTTTTGGTGTCTGTGAGAGAAGGAAATATGACAAACTCACCAAACAGTCACGCTGCAGGGTCTTACATAGAGCATTGTACATATCGGCATCCAAAGAGAGACCATCAGGCATATCTTGTAAGAAGTCCAGGTCTTTAAAGGTGGGGAGAGGCTTCTCTCGCTCTTTTTGGGAAGCCCGCCGTTTGTAGGTTGAGCCCTTAAGGTCATATTTGATATGCATCTTGACCGACCGTGGTAAGAGATTGTTCATTACCACAATTCGAATGTTCTTACCACCTGCCTGCACACAGTACAGTCCATAGAATTTAGGCAGCAAAGTCCGAGGGTTCTGGTTGAGGTTCTAAGGACACAAAAACAAAAAGCAGGAGAGCAACTTAGCTGATTTTCAGCAAAATTCAAGGGCAAAAGCTGCCACCCACCTTCCTTCATCTGTTACTTGGCATTCAGGTACAATCTGTCTGCCCATAATCCCACACTATATACAGTACCATATTTGTTTGAAATTTCCCAATGCATCTAATGCTGGGATCATCACCAAGCTGAGCCACAGACCCTCCAATATAGTAATCAGTCAGGATACTGAACGTATGATGAATATATTCCTTTAGAGAGGTTTAAGAGAAGACCGTGTTGAAAAAGTCCTAACTCTTAACCCTTGGTATAGTATATTCTTGGGTATGATGGGAGGCAAAGGAGAGTTCCCTAACTTCTCCAGTACCCCCAAGAGCAATCAGTCAGAGTAAGATTGGATAGAGTACTATCAAGGGAAGTAACCAACCCCATTGCCCAATGTAGAAGCTGAACTAAGAAAACAAAATCATCATTGAATCTTTTTTTTTTTTTTAAACATTATTTTATTTCGAGAAAGAGAGATCGATTTGTTGTTCCACTTATTCATGCATTCATTGGTTGATTCTTGTATGTGCCCTGACAGGATCGAACCAGCTACCTTGGTGTATCGGTAGGACGCTCTAACCAACTGAGCTACTCAGCCAAGGCCATCATTGAATCTTGCCTTTGGGTAGGACAGTCTAAGCCAAATAAAGACTTAAAATAGGACAGTCCGGCTGGGCCTGGCTCAGCAGTTGAGCGCTGAGCTAGGATCCAGATCGGTGTTCGATTCCTGGTCAGGGCACATGCCAGGGTTGCGGGCTCGATCCCTAGATGGGGGCATGCAGGAGGCAGCCGATCAATCTCTCTCTCATCATTTATGTTTTTATCTCTCTCTCCCTCCCTCTCCTTTCCCCTCTGTCTGAAATCAATAAAGATATATTTAAAATAATAAAATAATAAAATAAAATAAAATAAAATAAAATAAAATAAAATAAAATAAAATAAAATAAAATAAGGCAGATAAAACTCCTTTTAGCCATAGAGAGGCAAAGAGATGGGGTGAAAAGCACAAAAATGAACTACATTCTTAAGACAGAAGCGCTGACACTGTTTTGCCCTGCCAAGGACAGCCTCCCCAGCCTTGTCCAGGAGTGAAGTGGACAGCACGGGTAGCCAGTGCTCCTCTTCTCCTCACCATGTAGTATCCTGGAAGCAGCTTCTGCAGAAACTCCGCCTCTTTATGCTGGACTGTTTTAATGATGAATTCGTCATCGCTGGACACGTAGAAGAGGGAACCACTAGCCCCAGAGCTGCAGAGTTCAATCAGTGGCTCACTGCAGAGGGAATACTGGGGTCCAGAGAGAAGAGAGCAAGAAGTTCAGAAATTCCAGGACCTGCCCAAGCAGAAATCAACTACGGATGCAATTTTGTTCCAAAAGAAAACTAGAGTAAGGCTATGGAGAGAGAGGGTCTTCTTTCAGGAGTACTGCTTTGATTCTGGAATCACAGGATCATGAGATCTGGAAGCTTACCAAGTAATCATCAGGCCGGATTCCAAATAATTCCCGAAAGTAGCGGAAGGCAACAGGTGCATAGGTCTTGAACCGAAAGTCATTGTAGTGATGAGCAGGGGTCAGGTTGCTCCCTTCGCTGTGGGGTTAAATAGAAGAAGCCATTAGTTACCAGTCTCTGTCATACAGGGAGTCCTCCTTGGGGGTCACCCAGAGGCAGGTCAATACATCCCCTGTAAGAGAACCAGTGGGATTAGATGAGTCAGTTACTTAGTGGGACAAAAGCACAAAATGGGGATTAAGACATGAGCACAGGGAATAACACTGCCTCCTACCAAGTGCATGGAATTGTTTTTCAAGGGCTCATTCTACAGGCCTGAGGCTCATGGAAACAGCTAAAGGACAGCATCTGCTCTCCACACTCTAGAGCCTCACATCACCTTGATTAAAATCAGGTTAAGAATGGTACACGTCGCCCGGCCGGGCGTAGCTCAGCGGTTGAGCGCTGACCTAGGATCCAGGTGATCAGGGTTCAATTCCCGGTCAGGGCACATGCCCAAATTACAGGCGGCAGCCGATCAACGACTATCTTGTCGTTGATGTTTCTATCTCTCTCTCTCCCCCTCTACTTTCTTCTCTCTGAAATCAATAAAAGATATATTTTAAAAAAAAGAAAGAAAAAAAAGAATGGTACACGTCTAAATTAGACCCAAGCCCCTAAAATGACCCTGAGGTTAATATGAAAAAGGACACTTTTCAGGACATTATCCTGAACGTTAACCTCTGTACCTGGGGAAGAAGATACTCTCCACCACGTAAAAGTCTTGCATGAGGACATCCCGCTCTGGTTTGGTACTCAGGCTCCCCACAGTATGAGTAATGCCTAACTGAATGGCACCTTTCAAGGCTGATGAGGTTGTCTGAAACAGAAAGGAAATAAAGGTAAAGTTGCAAGGGCTTCTGTCGTGTGTGGCACACATAGAGCAGCTCGATTGTTCTATGTGCAGAATTGACATCAAGAGATTTCGGAAGCATAATTTTTTGGTATTAGGGCAGCTAGTGATCGTTGGTCCTGGTGCCCGCAAAAAAAAAA